CTCACACCGACACATTGTCATCATGTGACGTATCACAACTTTTTCTCCCCTTTGCTAAACTGAGGGTGGGGGTGGGGGTGGCTGATGCATGACGCAGTCCTGCCCATGACCTGAGAGTTTGACATCCCTGCTGTATTTTCAATTCTGGCTTTATATGAATTTGTTCTTAAGGCTTAGTCTTGTGCTGCCAGAATTAATCCCTCAGTATCTTTCTTGCTCTTAGCCATTGACAGTCATCTCCTCTGCCTGTGTGTGTTTGTGTGTGTGTGTGTGCACGTGTGTGTGTGTGTACACTAGCCATGGAATACTTTGCCTTGCCATATCTCTTTTTTATTCTTCACTTAGTCTTTCCTGTAAATGAGTCTCTCTGATACACAGTAAACCTTGGTGCACTACCTTCAGTACCTCTCCTTCACTGTCCTTCTGATATTCTTCCAGAGTCTTTTTTATTTCTTTAATTGTCTGGTATACTTGCAATATTTTATCTCCACCTGCGCTCCTTGGTAAATATATCATTGTGTGAATGAATGATGTGATTATCTTTTTCTTCCCCTTATTTTAATTCTGCTTGAGGCCAGTCTACTATTCCATATCTAATGACTGGAATTGTCCAGGTGTTAATTGTTTTGATAGTATTTCCTTCATTGACTTTGAACTTTAAAATCTTCACTCTCATGATGTATTTACGTATAAACTTTTTCTTGACTTCAGTATATTTGACACTGTCAGCCTGAAGAATGCCCACGTATTAGTAGTGATCATCTTCATCCAGACTCTTGATTTTATTTCCATGGTGTATATTGATTCCTTCAGTTTTCACAATTTTCCCCATTTATTGTAAGGATGGCACATTTGTCCAGTTCAAATTCCACTGCAATACCTTGGCTGTATATTCAGACAATTCCATTTCACATGGTATTTTCTATTCAGCTTCAGATCATCATGTAAAAGATGTGGGAGAGCCCAGAAGAAGTTTTTTATGTTTGTTAACCATAACCCGACTTGTTCAGTATTGTTCACAGACGAATCAATGCAATGACAAACAGTAGAGGTGATATTAGTACTACTATATGGAGATAATTCACTCAGTAAAGATTATTTAAAAGTACAACAGGACATAAATAAGTTGTGACATGAGAAAACACTAAAATACTGTTTAAAGCCATAGGAGAAGTTAAACCCACAGCTTTAAACATGCATAAAGACTGCGTGGACAGAGAATGAAAACATTCAAGTATATTAAATATATTCTATATTCAAAAACCAAAATGAAAGAAAAATGTGTAAATTATCAAACCATGGCACTAACTTCTCTCATCAAAGTTTTGCTTAAGATTTTATAAAGAATAGAAAGAGAGAGAAAGAGAGAGGGGGTCAAATTAACAGGCAGGTTTTTAAAAAGGCAGAAGGATACAAGATCAATTGCTAACATAAGATGGATAATAGAAAGAACAAAACAACATAGGAACAAAATTTGCTTTTGCTTTATTCAATTATTTCCAAATTACAAATGCATTATGGCTAGTGGGGCCATACCTGACCCGCGAGATACTTAGATCTGGCCTGTGGGGCTGCCAGCATAGGACCAGCCCACAGTACCTCTGCCAACGAAAATGGAGCTCAGGGGGGCTGCGCACAGCCCCCCGAGCTCTGTTTTCACTGGCAGAGGGCGACAGGAGGCTGCTGTGGCTGAAAATGGAGCTTGGGAGCCCATTTTTGCTAGCAGAGTGCTGACACAAGTGAGGTCAAGCTGGCGATGGCCACCCCAGCCCCCCATGATGCAGCCCTCAATGAAATCAAGTTTGATACCCCTGCTTTAAAGTGAATTAGAAGCTACTGTAAAAACATGAGGAAACACAGAAATTTGTAATAGAAGAGTAAACAAGAAAACAGATAATAGGAACAGATGGATAGGATCCAAGAGATTATAGGATAGATTCTAGAAGAGCTAGAACATATTGTCAAGGGATGTTTGAATGGAATTTGTCCATGAAATGACCAATCTGATCCAAGATGTTTAGTTAACTACTTGTGTCATGTTCCAAAGTTCAGTAATGATATATAGCACTTTTAAAGAGCTTTTCTCATAAGGCTATCTCTACAAAGAGAGGAATACACTCCAAATGTGCACACATCTTTCTTCCTAGTATCTTCTTCTTCTTCTTCCTCTTCCTCTTATTATTATTAAATTTTTGAGTCAGTCAATGTGTTCCCAATATTCCTTTCCCAGAACTTTTTAATTACACTTTTGTAAACAATGTTTGAATTTATGCACACAATGACAAATATATAATTATGTAAGGATTCTGGAAGATTTCTTGAATTGACTGCAACTATTTCATTCATTAGTAGCCAGCAAAAAGTACAATCACACACCCATTATCTGGAAAGTCAAATCAATTAGAAAGATAATTCAGAATTAGAAATTCAGAAATAGAAAATATCATTTTTGTTAGCATATTGAACTAAATTGAAATCAAAACTTGAAAATGCACAATTACTCAAAAACGTCTGAAGTAAATTTTTAGGCTAAAATTCTAGCTACATGAGCCTCAAGGGATAAAATGTACACCCCCAGTAACATTCATGAAAAATGTAAAAATATATGCCAAATCTGTTAAAAGTAAATAAGCTCTAGCATACAATGGCGTTATACAATAGATGTGGCAAAGCCAAACGTAAGAAATGATACAAAAAAATTTCTTGTTAACATTAAACCCACGGAACACAGGGAATTAACATTAATCACATCGCATGTACATCTGAACAGAAGAGAGCAGGAAAAAACACCCTTCTAGAAACATACTTCTGTCAAAAGAAAGTACTGTATTTGACATGAAAGTTGGACAGTGAATTAGATCACATTTGAAACCCACTGAATAAATGGGACACGTGTTGAAATTAATGGACCTGAGCACTTGAAGTGAATGAGACTTGTGCAACTAACTGGCTGCAACCCAACAACTATTATTAATAGTTTCAGAAAAGTAGCTGAGGGCAAAATGTAGGTTTTTTATCTTGATGTAAACTTATTTTAGGCTAAGTGCAAAAATGTTGTGGAGCAGTTCAGGCAGAGTTCAGTTCTTCATTTGCTTACACACTAGACAGAATCTTTCCAGACTAAATCCTTACTACCATGAGCTAACTAGGAAGTTGCCTATCTGAACTCTTTCTCAGTGTCCTATCCATTTCCAGATTGTGCTGCCTCTTGCCCCCGTCCCACACCTTTGGGGTGGGGATATGCTCCCTACTTCCCAGGAAACTGCCACGTCACTGTGGTCCTTCACATCAGTGCCCTTTCAGTGGGTATCCTCACAACTTCAGAGTCCAGAATGGACAGTTTTCCATCCAACTTGGCCATGCTAAATATGAAAAGAATAAGAACATCTGTCACATAAATTGTTTCATTTAGAAAACTAAATATTAGAGAACTAGATTGTCCTATCACTTTCTTTCAGATATTATATTTCCATCTGTATATTTATTTATTCTGGGTGAAACGGCATTTGATTACAAGACTCTGTATAATAAAGAGCATTGGAAAGCAAGTATGTTGTAACACCAAGGCCTTAATTCCCTATCTTTGGGTACACATTATAATCAAACAGCACATTGTAATCAAAGAGCTTTTCTGTATGGTATTGATAAACTGACCCAAACACTGAATGACTTACTTTATTTATTTAGAAATTATCTGTCACTACATAAAAGGCTAAAAATTGGGAAATATAGTAGCACCCACATACTCCGAATAGGTGTGAGAAGAAAGAGAAAGAAAGCTAATTATGAATCAGCAACTACTGTACTAAGTATAATTCAAAGTTCCAAGAACTCTTTAGTTCTATTTATATAGCACAAATAGTACAGGCTACAAGGCTACCATAGTATAACACAGCTAATTGGCATAGATGAAAATTTTAATTATAAGTGCACCCCTTGTGGTAATCATGAAAGTTAAAACATAAGCTCAATGGGGAGGAGGGGTTGCACAACATATGAACCCATAAATTATCTTTATGTATGGGTTCTTACTACATGCTAGTTAATGGTTTAATGTATCATTTGATTCTAGTCTACATAATTAATTCTCAGTTCAGTGTATTGTGTGAGCAAAAGCAACTGGTTTAATTTAATAGTGTACGTCATCTGAACACAGTGACACATTCTGCCAGGATCAAATGAAGGATGACAGTCTTTTTCAGTTTACCATTAATTATTCTAAAACACTCATTTTCCCTACAGTTAATTGTAATTGTATTCTCTCACAGTGCAATCTTTGGCTGCGAAGGGATCTGATGCAAAGTAATGGTCCCAGCTAGTTCTCAAAAAGCCTGCCCCCTTGCCGGCAGCAAACCCAAGCCAATAAGGCAGAAAGAAAACGTATAGCCATAGGCACCAAACAAGGACACGTTGAACGGCTGTAGGACCAAGGCGTGGCGTGTAAACCCGTAGGAAGCGCTGGGTTTGCGCAAATTACAATCAGACGCGTCAAATTAAATGGAAAATTCAATCAAAAAAAAGTAACACACACGCTTACACACGTACACGCACCCCTCAGAGGCAGCCACATACACCCACCGAGCGGAAGCTGGCGGAGAAAGGGACGAAACTATGGGAGGAGGAGGAGGAGGAGGGGACGCTCGCTCCCCTTAACGCGCCGAAGCGAAACCCGGAGCTCTCACGCCGTTTTGTGAAGGATGGAAAAGCGGATTAATCCATTAAGGTCACGCGCAAAGGAGAAGCGAGCGATGGAAGCGGCGCGAAGCCGACAGCTGGGCGAAAGGACCGGACCGGGTAGGAAGCGGGGATCCTGGGAGGACTGCAGCAAAGAGACGGCGGCGAGGAAGGGCTTTGCAGGAAGAATGGAGGCTCCAGCGCTCAGAGGAGGGGGCGGGGGAATCGTCAAGCCCATCTCCCGACGAGGTGGGGTTGGGGGGAAGAGGGGAGGCGAGCCCCGGCCTCGCTGCAGCATCGGGAGTTCCTGCCGAAGCAGCACAAACCTGCAGTCTTCGCCGCCCCCGGAACTTCTGCTCTCCAGCTCGGCTCCCAGAGCCTCGATCCCGCGGCTGCAGCCCCTTCGTCCTTCCCCAGTTAAGCAGCCGTGCCCACACTTTCCTTCGGCGCCAGCGACCGGGGCAGCCGCCTCTGCTCTGCTCTGCTCTGCGGAGGCCGCTCCGAGAAGGAATCCTGTGGTAGCGGCGCCGGGATGAAGCCCTGTGCCCAGAGTGCGGCAGGACCAGCTGCCTCTGCCTGTGCGAGTGTGTGCCTCTGGGGTGGGTGGGTGTCCGTGTGTCCTCCCAACAGCCGCTACTTCCTGTGCAACGACACTTCAGTTCCTCCCGAACCAGGAGGCAGGGGAACGGGGCTGGCGGCTGTGAAGAAGGGGGGGAGCAGGGTGGCGGTGGCGGCAGCCTTGCTTCAGTTGAGGTAGCCTGCCCGGGGGTGGAAAAGAGCCCGAGTTTCGCTTAAAGGCGCCTCTCCGGCACGAGCATCGTCCCTCCGCGCCGCTCTTCTTTCCTCGTTGGAAGTTGGAGCCGTGGAGGATGGAAAAGCGCAGCCTGGTTCCCGCGTCCCGCTTTCAGATATGGGAGGAGAAGCACCGGCGACGGGCTGCTGCTTCCCAGGCTTGCGGGAAGGGGAAGAAGCCGCGTGGTTGCAGGCGTCGGTGCCTTCGGCCGGCGTGGTTAATTTCACACGGTTTTTCACCCCGTAGCCCGGTCCCGCTATTAGTAGGCATCGCCCATTCATGCCAGGAAATGGATCAACTTTGCCTTTTTATCCTCTTATTTAAGGTGAGGGCCAAGGAGAGCATCTCGGTTACAACTGTGGAAAGGGAACTTCACGAAGACAGTAGTGTCACTCAAGCAGGAAAAGCCCAAGGTGGACATCAGCCCAGCCATAAAACAAACTTACATAGGAAAAGGAATCAAATAAAAGGTATTAAAGAATCCCTATAGACAAAAGCCTAAGTAATTAAGAAAACTAGACAAATAAGAAAAGGAAACCCTTACAAACACAGGACAGACCAAATAAGCAAAACAAACAGACAAAAGACGCAAAAAAATATAAATTACAAAGAGACAGACAGGAGATTGCCACAAAACAAATATGAAAAAAAACATTATAAAGCTAAAAGAGATTAGGAATAAAACTGATAATACAATCTAACCACCCTGCGGAGTTTGCCTTCTGCACTCCACGGAGTTTGCCCTCCAGCGGGAATAAAGATAAACTCAAACAGGATTTGAAACATTAAGCACAAATACAAACATTCACACGAAATCAACTCTCAAAGGGAGAAAAGGGTATAAAAACCAGGGACTTACCATAAGAAGCCAGCTAGCCCAGGAACGCAGACTTATCGCTGTTCTTTGCCTTCCTGAAAAATAAAAAGATCCAGCTTTCAAGCAGTTGTTCATATCCTTGCGCCGGAGCTCTCCCAGCGGGAAAATCGAATCCTCGAAGGAAAGGCATTTTGACACCTTTCAACACAACAAAATAAAAATTAATAGGAAGTTTTCATAAGTACTTTGACTAGTTCTGTCTGGCCGCTGAAAACTGAAGTGGTGGAGGAAGGACCATGGGTGCCACCCCTAACTTCCAGCAGATGCAGATCTGTTTGCACAGATGCCCCTGGGTGAATATCTGAAAGCATGAGAAACAGCTTTCTCATTTATAATTTCTACCTACTTCACCCCCACGATATTAAACTGTATGAATCTTGCAGGTTTATATTGGTCATTTTATTTATTTGATATATTTAGATGCTTTTAGGATGAACCTTTTTAAATTTGACACTAACTTGATGGTACCTAGTCTATTTGCAGGTGGTCACAATATATTAAGAATCAAAAACAAGTGCAGAGGCCATTGAAATAGTATTAATATTGTGGTTTAAACTGATAGCAATCATACAATTGCATTACGATAAAGTGTGATTAGTGCAATGAATCAATAAGCCATATTTAACATTAAATTTGTATGCTATATAAAGCAGCCAACATTGTAAGTTAACAGCTAGTGGCTTAGTTGACCCAATTAACATTCACAGACCTCACTACTCAATACACTTGACTCCTTGGTTTGGAGGTTGGTGCAGGATCATCAGCAGATAGTTAAATGAATCACTATGGAGGGATTGTGGCTTTTTCCTTGTTCTTCCTGCTATGGATTGGTATGAACCCTAGGCTTACTAGTCAGCAATCTTATCAACTAGCAAACCTTGGTTTTGATTGCTGTCTACACAGATACATACATTTGAACATGTGTAAGTTACATTTCATACTGTGAGCTATGCAGAAAACAGAATGTGACAGCTCCAAACATTTGCTCCCTTCATATGTTCAGTGAATTGACCATGTGAATAAGCTGTTTAATTTTCCAGCTACACTCTGCAAAGAAATGTTTTTCTAGTGCCTGCATTTTGATAGGAACTATGAATATGAACTATAAATGTGTAGAGCTTCTAGACATGAGAACTTTAGCCATGAGAACTTTAGCTGTCAGGGATCTTTGTAGAGGAGAATTCTGCATATTCATAATGCCCATAAAGAAGTTGATACTTAAAAGTCCAAAAAGAGACATCCATAACATCAGGATATCTAAGGGGAATATGATAGCACTCTTCAAATACTGAAAGTAGATCACACAAAAAGGTCAGAAGCTGTTCTCTTATCATTCTTGAGTAAAGGGCACAAAGTAATGGATTTAAGTTACCAGAAGGCAGATGTTGCATGTATGTAAGAGATTGGGGGGGGGGGGGGGGTTTTGTAAAAGGAAAAGGGGTTGGGGGGGGGGGGAATTTTTTGGGGGGGGGGGGGGGGGGGGTGAGAGTTAGGGTTAGGATATCTTCTCCCATTGGATATACTCAAGCAAGAACTATTTTAACATTCCTTGAAGAGAAGGATCCTGTAGTTGTTAATTTGTGTGTGAGTGTGTGGTTATGACTTAATTTTTATCTGATAATAAGTAGTTGTATGTTTTCCTTGGCTCTCCTGATGTTGAATTAATTTTTTCTCTGCATCTGATGTAATTCAGTAAACTATTTGGCTTTCAGGGTAGGATCAGCTCAGCAGGTCTTGGTCACTGTAGGCTGGTAAAGGCACTCTTCTATTCAGTCTTTGAGTGCAAGGCTTTTCTGCACGCCTATTCACAAGTAACTTTATACCAATTAATATTAATTGCCAGACAAGTATGTTTAGGAAAATAGCCTTAAATGGGCATATTTGTGTTGATATACATACATATGAAGAACAACAAATGTAATTGCTGCAGGAATAAATAATTACTGCTGTAAAATAATTTGTTATTTGAAAAAGGGTTAAAATTAAGTTTTGAATGACTCAGATGACTCAAATCTTATTTATCAAATTCAGAATGATTTTCCTGTTACTGCTTATAAGATCGATATTCCTTATTTCTTGCTAGTAACATGTGGGTCTGAAATGTGTGATTTCTCAGTGTATATGATCTGTCTGTGTGGGTGTTCAAATAATTTTGATTGATTTCATCTTACAATTAGTATCAAGGTTCAGGTGTATTATCAATGAACAATAATGACAAATATCGTTCAATCTTCACTTCTGTTTTGTAAGAAAGATGTTCCCATTCTATGTGCATCTGTGTCTGTAGATGTAATCTGAATTAAAGAATGAGGCCAGGTAACATTTTAGCTATTTTAGGATTAGTCTCACTAATAAAATACAATTATGTCTAGGAAAACTTAAATAAACTTACAACCACAAAGCTTATTAAAGACTATAATTAGTTCTAGGCTGAAAATGCTCCACCTTACATCCTATCAAGAAAAAATATTTTGATCTGCTCTCTAATTTGTAACATGGCTCCAGGGCCATTTTAGAATTGCACTTAAAAATTACCTTCTTAAATCATTCAATCTTCTTTTTTTTTACCTGAACCATGGCATGAAAGACAAATTTGATGTCTTTAGCCAAAACATCAACTCTGGATTTTTAATCAAACCTAGAGTGCTTTTTAAGTTGCTGAAAATTCTTATACAACCATGTGGCCATGAAAGGGTATTTATTATATAAATAGGACATAAATATTAGCTAGCAGCAATATTGTCAGTTGTATTTCTTTCATTGAAATTACATTTTTGTATGCATTTACAAACCATTTAGCACAAAACAAATCCAAAGACAGACTTCTAACACGGAAAAAAAGACTGATTAAGAGAAAGCTGTTGTTGGCTGTTAAAAAGTTTGGCTTAAGAATTGGAGGAACTTGGAGAACAATGCAATCTCCCAGGCTCTTGGATTAGCCAAATAGGAGATTAACCTGTCCTATTGGTACCACAGAAGATTGCTGGGGGCACAATGATAATAGCTCCTCTTTCCTTTTGCACCTATAAGATTTTGCCAGCTGAGGCAATGTCTGCAATGTTGCCAATTCCACAAGAGGCTCACTTAGAAAGTTACTTAGCAATCATTTTGGGTTGCATTATTAAATTGTATACCATTTTCACCTGTGAGAAGAAGTTCTATGCAACCATTGGCCATCTTCAAAAGTGGTCCTCTATCTTTGTTGTGGTTTCTGGTAAGCTGAAGAGATGGAAATTGGTACAACTTTTTCTAACTCTCTTATAGTTATTTAATAAATTTAGTACTGGCATTTCACCCTGCTCTGTTGTCTTCCAATTGGTCACTGGGTGTAACCTTTCAGGTTTCTCTGGAAGTTGGCTTAGGGCTCTTCCAAAAGAACACTAAACTTACCTTCAAAAGAATCCTGATCAATTCCGCCTTCCCACTCCTTCCCTTGCAACTTCATTTGTCAGCTGCCTGGACACCTGGAATAGGTTTGGACAAATGTGTAAGCACAACAGGCTAGCCACCTGAGTCAACATTTGCCTCCTCAGCCCCATCCTGCCTTAAGAATAATGATTGACAGTGTTAATTTATTGAGAGAATATAATTTTGGTATAAGTGGAGAGAAACAACAAAAGTGCCATCGTGCCTCATCGTGCTTGTAGTAGGACAAGGAGCTGTGGGTAATGGTTCAATACAGATAATAGGTGCATGTCAAAATCACATTGGTCATCTTTTCTAAAGTATTTCATTCCACTTGATCTCTGACCCATAACCTTTCCATTTATGCATCAATGTTTTGTTAGGCTGTTAGACTATTTCTTTTGCTAGCATTCATAGGAAGTACAGAATGGAGAGTTTTTATTGAGGTAGCTGTGGGATTTGGTAAGAGTGGCTTACAGTGAAATAAAATTTGGATTTCCTAGGAACATTTTGTCAAATTACTTTGACCACATAATAAGCTTTTGCATTTGACTAATTAAAGCTTTTGCATTTGACTAATAAAAGTAAAAAAAAGATAATAACAGGAATATGCACTCTCGTGTAATAGCTGTGAATAAAGCCTGAATTTTAAGAGCTGCTTTGGATACATTAATGGAGAAAGATAATGCAGGAAATACACACCTTTAAAAAGAAATTGCAAAGAGATTGAGGTTTAATGAAAATCTAATTTGTTTGGTTTACTGTATTGTGCAACCCCATTCAGTTAAGGTGTAATCATAATTCATAATTGGAAATCCTG